AACTTGAGAGAAGAATATTTTCCACAAAGTGAGAAGTTTTATTGGGTATCAAAAAGTAGTCCTATTGAGTACATTCACTATGAGGTCTCTGAATGAGAGCTCATTTCGAGTTGCATTTTTATACTCTCTTTCGAGGGATAATTTGGTCGATAATTATTCGAGTTCCCAGGGTGAGATCTCAGGTTGAGATCTCAGATTAGGTTCTCAGGATGAGATTAACATAGAAAGGATTAAAAAGGTCAAAAAAGGGTAGAGAGATTAGGATTAGGATTAGGATTAGAATTAATTATCAATGGTGAGATCTCTATTTGAGATCTCATGAGATTTGGTTAGAGGCAAAAAACGAGGTCTCACTACACCCCACTACTTGAACTAATCATCTCGCCTGAGATGAAATTTAACTACGTTACGTATGTGTGCTTGTTGGATGACTCCATCGCGCATGTATTTCACGGTTTTTGGGATCTCATTGAAGGTCACAATTTCGGTTACCTCGAAGGGTCCTTCCGTGATATAACGTTTACCTTGTTTCCCTTTGAAGATCAAAATGTGATCGCTCACTTTGAGATCTCGATTCGAGCTTCGTTTATTTCCATCATAATTTTTCTTCATTTTCTCTCTGTATTGGTTAATTTGTTCCATTGTAAAGGGTTTTTCTGTGAGCTCAATGTTTTCGATGTTGAATTTAAAATCAGCCGGCAAGTAATCACTTCTACCAAAAGCTTTGTAAAATGGGCTGCATCCGATCGCTCTACAATAAGATCGATTATGGTGTTTCGCCGCGAGCTCCACGATCTCACTCCAATTTGAGATCTCAGGATAAAGAGCATAAAATAACTTGATCGATTGTACAAATCTTTCGGCCATTCCATTTGACCATGGACTGTAAGGAGAAACGAGCACCTGTTTGAGATCTCTTTTCGAGACCCAATCTTTAAATAAGTTAGAGGTGAAACAGCAGCCATTGTCTGATATAATTTTCTTAACTGAGTCTATGTAAGGATGGTTCTCGAGAAAGTTGATGACACTCTTAGAATCTTCTTTCATTGCCTTGGCTTGTCCTAGTCTGGTTCCTTCATCAATTAGAACCAAGAAGCTCTTTGTGGTAGCTCGACCTTCGCCTCTTTTTGAGAGCTCACCAAAGTCAAGGTGGATTGTATTCATCATTTCAGTTGAGTGGTTCGGTAATACCAGTAAGTCGGTTCTATTTTTGAATTTTGCTTTTACCTTTTGACAAACTGTGCAGGATCGAACGTATTCAATGATGTCTTTTTTCATGTTGTTCCAAGCGAAACGGGCTGAGATCTTGTGAAAGGTTCGTGAGATACCATCGTGACCACCAGAATAAGGATCGTCGTGATAACTGCTGAGCACCGATTTGATACATTCAGGTGAGATCTCAATTTGAGGTCTCAACTTGGTTTCGATATTGTTAATAGTTACGTTCGGAATGAGCCGCGAAATGGCATCTGCATCTGTTAGTTCTTTCCCAGACTTGTGATTGATTTTCATAGAGAAAGACATTAAAAAGGTTTGCCACCTACCGAGCCTCCCTTTGGGCTCCTTAAGTCCATAAGGAATGTGAGGGCTCGGTGATCGGAATTGACGATGAATTCTCTTCCTTCGAGATATGAGCGAAAGTATTGTATGGCCTTGATTACCGCCAAACATTCTTTATCAGTGGTACAGTAGTTCAATTCATGCGAGTTAAAGGTATACGAGTGGTAACCAATGACTCTGAGCTGTTTATTTCTACTCAATTTGAGATCTCGCTGATAGAGAATAGCTCCAGTTCCACAATTAGAGGCATCACAACTGAGCTCGAAGGTGAGATCCCAATCTGGGATTTGGAGAATGGGGTTTTGTGTTATCATTTCAACTAGTTTTAAATAGGCATCATCACACTCTTGGCTCCAGATAAAAGGTTGATCTTTTTTCTTCAAGGAATCCAAAGGTCGAACAATCTTACCATAGTCAGGAATAAATGCACGAAAATGACTTGTAAGTCCGGTGAAGCAACGGAGTGAATGGAGATCCCAAGGTTTTTTCATTGTTTTAACCTTTATAACTGACTCTTCGCGAGTAGTTTTAGTTTGCCCATCGAGCACCCTTCCGAGGAACACAATTGAGCTCTCATTTAGGGAACTCTTTTTTTCATTGATTGTCATCTTGGCTTGATTTAGACGGCTCATAACCATTCCAGTCAGGTAACCACATTCCTCTTCGGAACGACCAGCGATACAGATGTCATCAACATAGACATGAACCTTGCCGCTCGAAGTGAGATCTCCAAGTATTTTCGTTATTGTTCTTTGGAAGATTGCTGGAGAGTTTTTCCAACCAAAGGGTAAGCGAAGCATCTCGTAGTGTCCGAAAGGTAACACGAAAGCGCTATACTTCCTTGTACTTTCAGATAATTTTATTTGCCAGAATCCATCTTTGAGATCTATTTTTGAGAAGTGAGTTGAGCCTCCGAATGAGCTTATAATGTCATCAATTATTGGGAATGGAAATGGGTCAAGTTTGGTGATTTTATTTATGTCTCTGTAGTCTTGACACAACCGATACTCGCCGTTCTCTTTCGGGACGATCACACAAGGGCTAGCATATTCACTTGTTGAGTCACAAATAATGTTGCTCATTTTGAGATCTCTAATCTTTTGCTGAGCCCAAAGGTATCTTTCTCGTGATAACCTGTAAGGTTTTCTTTGCACTATGGTTGAGAGATCAATCTTAAAATCGGACACGTGAAGAGGCTCACATTTCGGCACTTTGAACAGATCAGGGTACTTCTGTTTTGCTGACTCCATTGAGGTCACGATTTGAGGCTCATCGATGGCATTCACTTGAGGGGACACTTTCACAAGAGCGTAACCAAAGGCCTTGAGTCCTGGTTTACCGAGGATTAAATCATAGTTGCACTTATCTAAAACGAATGCCGAGATGTCACATTGAGATTCATCAAGTTTGACCTCAAATTGAGATCTCATTTTTATGTTCACAGAAGAGCCATCAAAACCATGTATAATTTGTGAAGTTTCTTGTTTAGGCAAACCTTGTTCGTCAATAACTTTTGATGAGATCACATTTACTTTGGCACCATTATCTAGTAATGCGATGTAACTTTTCGTTCCAATAGTAACCTGTTTCACATCTTCGTCCTCATATGGAGGCTCACCATCACTAATAGAGAAAACATCACCTTTATTGTGAGGTACTTTATCACGATCGTCTCGTTTCTTGTCAGAACGAGGTTTACTATTAGAGTCTCGATTTGAGATCTCATCACTTCTTTTTAGTTTAGTTGGTTTTAAACTGCATAAAGCTTTTCGTAGGTCTTCCTTTGATGAGAGCTCAACTGACACAAGCTGTTTCTGTAGATCATCTGGTAGACCAAGAAGCACAAGGGTAATAAAGTTATTTTCGTTGATATTAGGAAATGCAAGTTGAAGTAGACGTTGTTTTTCATAATAAAATTCGAGTAGGGTTCCTCCGCGGTACTCCCATGATAAAGCTGATTGTGCTTGGGTGACTCTATTTTGCCCAAATGCATCAATAAAGGCTTCTCCATTCGAGCCACGAGTGGGATCTCTTCAATGAGTCTCGAGTTGAACCACTTGAGTGCAACACCTTCTAGACATGACTTAAGATGATTGATCTTTGAGTCATCAGAAGACCATCCATTACAGGTACATGCTTTCTCATAAGAGAGCAACCATGTCTTAGGGTCTTCTTGTTTTCCATTGAACTTTGAGATCTCCATCCGAGCAGATTTATTGGCTAAAGCTGGGATCACGGCATTTTGGAAGGTTTCGAGCATTTTTTGAAATGTTTCCATTTGAAACTGCATCATCTGTTGTAAGCTATTTGTTGAGATCTCAGTTTGAGCACTCACACGTTCTGGGTCTACCATGATGTCTTCGTCATCTTGATTGCTGAGGGAACCAGAACTGAACACATCACTTAAATAAGGGCCTGCTTCACTAGCAGACATATACACTGACACTGTTCGTTGACGGGTCATTTCGGTGAGGGCAGCCTGAATCGGTGGTTTCTCTTTAAGAGTCTCATGTTGAGCCAAATTTTGATGTTCATCTCTAACGAGAGTCCATTCAAACGAGTTGTGAAGACAATATCTTGTAACCAAGATTTCGTCGTCTTTTTTCACAAGAGTGAATTTAAACTTAAAATTATTAGGTGGGATGTCGTTGGGCATCCTGTCGACTGCGCCAAAACTGTGGTGAACTTAATAAAGTAAACTTGAGAGAAGAATATTTTCCACAAAGTGAGAAGTTTTATTGGGTATCAAAAAGTAGTCCTATTGAGTACATTCACTATGAGGTCTCTGAATGAGAGCTCATTTCGAGTTGCATTTTTATACTCTCTTTCGAGGGATAATTTGGTCGATAATTATTCGAGTTCCCAGGGTGAGATCTCAGGTTGAGATCTCAGATTAGGTTCTCAGGATGAGATTAACATAGAAAGGATTAAAAAGGTCAAAAAAGGGTAGAGAGATTAGGATTAGGATTAGGATTAGAATTAATTATCAATGGTGAGATCTCTATTTGAGATCTCATGAGATTTGGTTAGAGGCAAAAAACGAGGTCTCACTACAATTAGTATATACACAAAGTCAAAGCTTAAGACAAGATCATCAACAATAACAACAAGAAAGAAAAAACTAATTGTTGGTTAACATTGAAATTGAATAATAAAGAGATAGAGAGATGAGTTAATTAGATGAAGACAAAGGAAAACAACATTAGCTTAATCTTTGTCTATTCAAACAAAACGAGAGATAATTAGATTTAAAGTTGAAGCTCAAGTTGAATAGATTAACAGATAAGCTCTTATAATATTTACAAATTAGTCTTTTGTTTATCATCAAATGACAACAGGATTTAAAGTGAGAGAGAGAGAGAGAGAAAATTACGATGTGATTATTTGTTTATGGAAAAATGATAAATATTGATTATCGTTTTCTTTTTGGGTGATTACAGTTTCCGGGAATTACATTGGCATTGTTGGTAAAAGTGTATCAATCGGATGTAATACAAGCCTATGGGGTGAAAATGCTATTTCCTTGATTCTCTGGTATAAAGGCGCCAAAAATGTACCAATTTATTCAATCGATTCTAGGACAACATCTTTAGCCAATTCTAAGCACATCCAATCAGGATCTCGATATAAATTAAATGTATCAACTCTTCCTCCTCAATTGATTATCGATCCAATAATGGAATCAGATGAAGGTGAATATCGATGTCGAGTTGATTATAAGAATGAACGAACTCAACGTTATGCTACTTTTCTTGAAATTATGGGTAAGTTTTCAATTCGAAAAGCTTTTAATTTATTATTAATATCTTTCTATCTCACTCATTCACTTTCGCTTCATGATTTATAATCTCAAGTGATGAGAAGGAATAAGAAGAAGAAGAAAAAAAAGAAACTCATCTAATCATATTTTGGAAATTATCATCATTATCTTGATGTCAGAACTTTTCATTTCTTTCATGTAATAATAATAACTTCATTCCTCTGAATTATTATTTGAAATGATCTATTTTTCCGATTGGATAGGAAACTATCAATTCATAGACATGTTATATTATATAAGATAGAGAAAAACAAAATGAATTAGAAATCTACTTAATGAATGATTATGATGATAATCATTGAGCCTAAACTAATATTTCAATCATTACAATTTTTATTCACCTTCTTTCAACACACCACACCCAAAGTTTTCTCACCTTACCTTGAGTTTATCACTGAATTTTTGATGGATATAAACTTTACAATAATAAGAAATGAGTATGACAGTGATGATGATAACAAGGTCGATTCTTTTATTGTTATTATAAAATAACTGGACTCTCGTGTTCAGAATGCTAAATGAGAAGGTCAGAGAAAGAGAGAAAGAGAGAGAGAAAGAGAGAGAGAGAGAGAGAGAGAGAGAGAGTTTGTCTTGTGTCTCTGTTGAATTTGAAATAAATGATTAATTGAATAATGAATGAACAACATGAGCTTTGTGACAGTTGACATGATAATAAGATTAAAAAAATATATTAACTAACCAAACTTAAGACAATTACATGTTAATATTAAAACCATGAGTTGATCTGATTAACTCGTCTTGGAATAATAATCAACAATGATATTCAGCTGCTTATTGAATCAACATATTGGTGGAAAATATTAGCATGATAATAAGGATTATGGTTACTGTGGATATCTCTTGATTCAGATTGGATGAAACCACAACAATTTGTGTTAATTGAGTTCGATCATTGATAGATATTGAATTCCTTAATAATCTGAGAAAGTTTCAACTACAATTAACGAACAATAGTTCAGGATAAAAAAAGAGAATAAAAGGAAATCAGATTCTTCCATTTTCTATTATCATCCATTTCTTTATTTCACCAATACTCTCTCAATATCTCGCTCTCTCTCTTTCTCTCTCAGGAGAAAAAAAAAGATTCTGAAAACAAAGTGGAAACATTTTCTAAATCAAGACGATTGACCATTAGTATCACTGTAATCACAGCATAGTAACAACTTATAATGTTATTAGACTGATAACTTGAAGCCCAATGACCAGTCGAATGGACAAGAGTTTTTTTTGTTCAGTTTGAAAGAAGACATAAGTTTCATTGGTGTTTTTTTCACCATTGTGAGTACTTGTTGTTGGGTGGAACAGATTCTGAAACTGATAATGTTAATGATGATGAGGATCATCATATTGTTAGATTTTCTCTCTCTTCTTTTATATATAAATGATCTCACCCTCTCCCCTTCTCTCTCTTTCTCTCTCACATCTTAAAGACCTATGAAGCCATCAAATTGATTGATACCCATCATTTTGCTGGTGAGAATTGCGAAAAGATTGAAACTGAATCTTCTTATATACTTGAAGGGAAAAGATTTAACAAATTGACAAGTTACATCAAACTGAGAGAATGTTAGTAAGAAAGTGCTTCTCTCTCTCTCACTCACTTTTTCTGTGTAAATTCAGTCCTTCTGGTCAACTCTCTGAGGCTCATGATGGTGGTGGTAGTGTGATGGTCATCACATTTATTGCCATTATCAACACTCAATGGCTCTGATTATTTCTCACTTATTTCCTCTTACTTTTTTTCCTTTTGCTTCATCAAAATCAGCTTTTCTTTTTTTTATATTATTAACATGGTGAAGAATCATCTTGACCATTCAAGTTTCACCATAATGATTCCTGATGCTAATAATGATAACAATGAAATGATGATGATGATCACCATCAGAATAATCTAATACAGAGACTCAGATTCTATCGCTCTCCCTTTACCTTTATTGATAATTTAAAAAATCCTAAGAAGATCAACTTTTTTTTTGCTCAATAGCGTTGAAATCGTATTAAAGTTCACATTAATGTTCCCTGTCTCCTGAATCCCCTGATAGAAAACCGATCAATGTATCAGAATTGGGATTCTATCTATTCCTTTGATGTTTTGATTATAATTTATTATCAACTAAATCGCCAGCATGATGATGATTAATCATTGAAATTAATTGAACTTTAATTGTTATGATAAAAAAAGTTACTACTTTTTATATAACTGTTTATGTTTGTAAATAGTTTTGACCAATTAAATTAATTTGAATTTTCAATTTACCTCAAATTGAAGTTTAATCATTTGAAAAGAAACTTTCTCTCTCTCTCTCTCTCTCTCTCTACAATTAGTTAATTATATGGATAAACTTTTAGTGTTCAATTTCAATTGCGTGTTCAATCAGCATCATTCAATTGGAGAAATTTTAATTCAATCAAGTTAATAAACAATTACAATTAAATGATAGTTTCGTTTTTTTCTGGTGAACAATTTAAATGAAAATTAAACATCAATGATTATAATCAAAGTTAATTCTTGCGTCAATGTTTATCATTAACTCTGATTCTGTTTGATTGTTCAATTGATTGAATTATGATAAAGATTCAATTTAAAATGATCATTTTTTTACCTACAATTTATCTTGATTTTTTAATCGGATTTTTGTATTATGATTACTGCAAATATCCAAGTGATTAGATAATAAATTGAAATCAATCAATGAATTAATCTATCATCTGATATAACCTGAAACTAAATCATGAAATTAGTGTGACAATTAAAGAGGGACAAAGCAATGAACTAATCACCATTGAGTTTAACTTGATGGTTATGGGAACAGTTAGTTAAACGATTGTTCATCTTTTGAAACAATTATTTAGCCAATTGATTAAGATTGTAAGACAATTAAGAATAGGAATTAAACGATGAGGTGAACATTTTGTCTCCTTGTCTTCATTTTCAGGGGAGAAAGATTAATCTCATGAGGAGTAACGATAGATAATCAAAGGTCTAGAATATCAAAGGTAAGAAGAGGGGGGAAAATAAGCAAAAAGAATCAAATTATCTGCGAATCAGCAGAAAAGTTACCATGATAAAAATGATTGTTATTCTGTAGCATTATCATGAAAACGAAAATGAACAATTCATGATGATGATGATCATCATTTGTTTGTATTTTTGAGGGTCAACGGTGAGCACAAACACCTTGACCAATCACCTATTAGCTTTTTGCTTTGTTTTTTTTCGAGACAAAAAAAGACAACAACATTGCCAGAGAATTGAGTTGATAAGTCATTTTGTAAGGGAAACGCTTCGATCGGCTTCTTTCCCCCTTAATTATTTCTCTCCATCAACAATCAATTAATTATTATATTTGTTTATCCCGCTTAATCTCTGTAACCAATCATCTCTTTCTTTACCTGCATAAATACCTATGCTATTTCCTTTTCCACATCAGTTGAAAATAGTTGTTACTACTCATCTTTGTATTAATCTCTCAATCAGGTTATGTTAATGTCTAACCTTTAACTTACTCAAGTTAACTCTCTCTTCCCCAATCTCTCAACTTCCGTTTCCATGTTATAAATCTCAAAGTGTTACTTACTTCAATAAACAATTTCCTAATTAACTAAATCGTTACTCAATTGCTCTTGCTAATTAGCTAAGAGGGATATTAGGGTAATTTACTTTAAACCCTCTCACTAATTGCTAGGATTGCAGTTCGATCATTTCGGTGCATTTTTGTAAGGGTGCCTGTACCTCATCCCCGTGAATTAATTAGACCTTACAAATGGTGGAGATCCCTCATTACTTAAACGAGTAATAACTTCAGAGAGTAGTGGTAATCATTATCTTGTCTGAAGGTAATCGTGAAAAGTGTGTTCCTTTTACACGTGTTACTAGCTCTGAGTGTGTTCTTTCCCTATGTGTGCTTTTTAGCAACAATTAGTAACAATTTAACAAAGTGGAGCTTTCGTCCTCATCTTCAATAGAATCAAAATTCTTCACATCATTCGATTCGAGAATTTATTCATCATTAAGAACAGCATTTTCTGTTCCAAACCTCAACACATCTTTAGTTGAATTTTTTCACGAAAACAAAAGAGTTAACGTGCACGATTGGACATTCAGTGATTCAATCATGTCTGAAGAAACAATTACGGTTGGCGCTTATATCAACGACGAGAATAATCGTCAAAAGCTCTGTGAAATTTATGGACTTAAATATTCAGTCCAAGGTAAAGCCTATGTCACCAAGGTCATTCGCGAGGCTATGACCACACAAGCCTTTATTTGTGGTTCCCTTTTATCCTATTCATCACCCATCGATAAAAATCATCAATTCGACCCTAAATTCCTCGATTGCCCTGAAATTCACCACCGATTGAGAAGCGCTGGTATTACCGAAGAGAATCTTCGAAAATTAATCAAAGAGGAAGTCATCGATGAAGGTAAGAATCTCTCTGAAGATTATCTAAAAGAACTTGAGTTCACATCTATGCAAATCAGAAGGTATTTTGAGTGTTTCCCTCAGAATGATGATCATGATGAAGCTTTAGTCGATGACATTGTCAATGACGAGCCTCATGATTATCATTCTCCACTCCCAAATAACCACAAACAGAAAACCAACCCTCAGACTCCAATCAATTCCAATCAAATGTTTAATTTCACTCCTCAATTTTTTCAGCAAATGTTCAGATCTAATTCACCATCGATTCTTGATGGATTTAAATTCAAATCAGTAATTGAAGAATACATTGAAAAAGGGTCACTGACTTTTTGCCAATGGTTAAACAAACTAGAGAGAAGAGTTTCTCTTCTAGAATTATCTGATCACCTTGCTATTAAAACTCTCTGTGCACAAGTAACTGATGATATTCATAAAGCTATTGATGAAATTCTCAGAAACAATCCTAACATTTCTTTTGCTAATTTAGTTAAACGTG